GCTCTTCCCTCCCCAGCATCTTCATCCTCATCAGAGGGAGCCAGGAAGTGCAGCTTTAGGCCAGTGAAGTTGGAAAGCAGTAAAAACAATGCCTCAGAGCGTAAGAACTGCAGGAATTTCTTCAGGATGTCAGGGAGGCTGTCTTCCTCTGCTGTCTCATAGAGTCTGAAAGACAGCAGAGGTATCAGCAATGGAGAACCAACAAGGACCATGTCCATGGGAGCAGCATCAACCAGTGCAGCCTCATGGCAGTTCCTGCTTGGCCTCATCAGTAGGTGCAGGACGCTGTCATTCCCCACCTTTTATTGGCAGGCCCCCGGCTGCTCCACTGGATGTCTTTGCTCTCCAAAGCTTCACACAGTAGTCGGTATTTCTCTTTCTAGGAGAGGAAGATAGTGCAGAAACTTTAACATTTGGCTCCCAGGTCTCCCTTGGTGTGCTTAGCAGTAGTCATTGTCTACTCTCAGATAAGGCACTCTCAGTTTTTTTCTAACTTGTCTGAGGCACCTAAGGACTGCTGAATTGAGGGGCATAGCCTGGCTTGGCATCATGTCTTTTCAACGCCAGTGACCAACAGGTATCAAATGCTACCTGATTGTCTGCTGGGTGAGAATGCAGTTTCACGGAGATATGGATGCCCAGTAAACCAGAGGTAAATCAGCCTTGAGAGGCAAAGCCTTTCAAGTAAGACAAAACCATTACGTGTCACTTGTTTCACATACAGGTCGAGTTCCCCAAGTCCTGTGAGAGCTTGAGGGACAGGGAAGGACACTCCGGTCACCACAAGGCTAGGAAGCAGGAAGGATAACGTGTTTCCATCCTTCTGCTTTGCTTCTTGTAGGAAACAATGTTGAAGCAAAGTGTTTGATTTTTGGTGAGTCCCTATGCAGCAGTGTACAGGCAGGCAGAGGGGATCCACCCATAGAATCACAGAATGGTTGAGGTTGGAAGGGACTTCTGGAGATCACTTGGTCCATTCCCCTTCAGGGAGTGAAACCAGAAGGTGTTTTAGTTGACGGCCAAACAAGCAAGGCCGTCATGCATGACATGTGGTACCTACCAGCATGACACGCCCTACCTGCATGACATGTGGTACCTACCAGCCCCGTGACCTGTTCTGGCAGACCACACCAGATTGAAACACTGGGCTCACCTTAAGAAAATCTTTCAGGAGACTTTCTGATCGCTCCTCAAATTCCTCCTGGATTTGAGCTTGGGAGTCCATGTCCAAATAAACTGGATTGATCCACTCATACAAGATTTCATGCTGGAAGGGAAATGGATTTGAATGCTGAATTTGCAAAAGTAAAAAATATTCCCCAATTCCCCCTTACCTAGCTGGCCACAGGGCTGGACTCCTCCCCACACACACTCCATTCCTTTCTTTTTTTTTTCAATTGCACCATGAGTATTTGCTGCATTCTCTGTACTATTGTAGGTATGCAAAATGTACAGAGTCAAGAAAGATATACAAGAAAGAAACCATCTATGAATTTATGGACAGGAAACAAAAAAGAGAATGGGATAAGTTAAAGATTAAAGCATCCCCAAGCATCAGTGCATCCTATAAGAGGTATTCCAGGGACATTAAAGAAATAGAAATGCAGATAAGCAGATGTAGGCTTGTTACTCACATCATAGGGGATGTGTGGGCTCCTGGGCAAAGAAGCTTCCATGTGGCGTGCAGGTCTGACTATTGACGGGCCGTGAAACCAGCCACTCACTGACAAGCGGCACTTCTCCTCAGACAGAACTTCTGACACCTGGAACAACCATTGAGCAGCACGTTAACTGTTTAGACTACAAAACAATTAAGGACCAGCTGTAACAGGCACCACGTAGACTCATCATAGGAGATGGACCTGATTCTGGAGAGCCTAATGCATACACAGAGATGTCAGACAAGGGCTAGACCAGGCTGGGTTATTCTTGGCTCACAGAAAGAGGACTTAAAGCAAACTTTGATGCTCAAGTCCATTGTAGATCTCCAGAATCCCAGTTGAACAATTTCACATTCCAGGGTGCTGTACTGTAATGGCAGTGTGAAGAGAAAGCCATCCCCTTATGACTGGTTGCAAGCCACAAACTGTGAATTTTTGAATAGCACATAAAAACTTTGTGGGTTTTGTTTGTTTGTTTTCTTTTTTTAGAACAGTCTGATGGAACAGGAAGAAGAAACACAGTCTGTTCCAAAAACATTTTGGCTCTTATTGTTACAGAGCTGTAGTGGCCCTTTCCTTTCATGACTTAGAGGTGTTCTAGGTCATTTGGAATGGCTACTGAATCCTAAATCACTTGGGAGGTGGAAACCAGAAAACTGCCTGCTATTAGAAGCTCATGGATCTGTTCTGCTCAGCAAACACCCACAGCTTTATTTGTTGTCTCCCAAAGAAGTGTACACCATGAAGTCCAAAACCTGAAGATCTATTAGGAAGTACTGACTAAATGCTCTTTGCCCAATGTCTGAGAGGGCTTTAAGGCTGGCACGTGCTGTGAAGGCTTCGTATCAGTCTGACCCTTACCCAGTCCTCTAATGGTAATTCCCAGGCTCTGTGCTTTACTGACGAAAGGGTCAAAGAAATGATTCAGTGCTTCAGCAAATACTCTGGGCACAAGCAGTGAGGTCCAGATCTGGGAGGCTTTGAGTCACAGCACTCCCAGTTAAGCTTAATGCTTATTTTAAAAATAAGTTTATTACTTAAGCTGTGTTTATTGCCTGTATTAACAGTATCAGAGACAGTGCACGGGGACTCTGAATAGCGCTAATGCGTGGGATTAAGTTTAGGTCAGTAGGAGGCAGTCACAAGGTTAAGTGGAACATGGATTTTCATGACAAGATTAAATCACTACCTGAAAACAATTAGGGCAGTGACCAAATAGATGTTTCTGTTAATTAATTAATTGTAAGACATAAATAACAGAAAAGTAAAACCCTAAGCAGTCTAGGTGAGGACATGCCTGACCTACATCACTGATCTTCTTCCTCTCCAGCCTTCTGCTCTTTGGCCCTGTTTGTTAGAGTCCGTGGTATTCTCAAGTACACGGGAGTTTCAGATTTCAGCCAGGTGTTTGTATCACGCGGTTCCAGAGATTATTCATCCTGTTTCCAGCCATCTTCCTGATAAGTGCCACGAAGCGCTACTTAACCATATCAGCATTTCTACTGTAGGGTACTGCACTATGTCTACGTTACCGAGTGGGTAAAGCCGCATCTGCATAGTGCCCTGTTGGCAAGGTGATGTGCCGAGGAGCTCTGCTGGAGCAAAGTCACGGCATCCACATGAAAAATGTGAGCTAGTTTAAAACAAGCAAACAAACAAAAATCTCTCCTCGCCACAGCCAAATCCATGGCAGTGGCTTGCCAGGAGAGCAACACAAAGTAGAAAAGGCAATTTTTCTTCCCCCAAGATGATGAAGCTAGACTGACAGTTTAAGTTGGCTTTGTCAGTTCTTGTGCTCCTTGAAGTCCCGCCTTTAACACACAGCACTTAGCATGAGGATCCACGCTCGTTCTCCCTTTCCCTTCTTCCTCCCCATCAGGATTGCAATAACACGCAGAATGAATAACCACAACAATGAGAATCAAAAAGCGAGCAAAAGACAGCTCCTTGCCTGGTGGAAAGAGACTGGAGACACTTCAAAGAAAACCAGCGTGTTCCACGAAGGCACTAATGACTTGATGATTTGCTGCGGCTGAAAGTGTTCTGCGGAGGAAGAAAACATACTCTGGTTAGGATACGAACTGGAACTCACTAGAAACTGCCATTTCTCTCTGACTTCATGACTTTGCGATAATGGACAGAGCTCAGAACAAGGGCTTGGCGAGGAATCAGTGGACTTCTGTTGCTGGAAAGGGAAGTTATCTCCATCACTTTAGGGTTCCAAGCACAGCTACTGGCATCACTTCCATCCTGCCTCCACTCCTGGCCCTTGATAAAAAATGTAAAAAAAGGATTCCCCTCTTCATTACCTTCTCCTGTTCCTCTGCTGCCACCCATTAGCGTTGTCTGCAAAGCCTGCTACAGCCCGTCTCTCATGTGCAAATTTTACCTGTACATCAGCTTCTCTGGACAAAGAAGAAACTCTTTATCTTCCTTGTACTATCTGAGGAGAGTTCCTGCAAGGGGTGCATAAGCTTCATCTTTTTCAGCCACCTGAGGCTGAGCTCCGAGTTCTTACCATCTGTGCTGTACAGGTCCAGCGTTCCGCCGTCGCTTTTCTCCCAGGGCGGCACGAGGTACAGGATGAAAGCAATTCTCCGACCTTCCAGCTCATCATCGTGGCACAGCAAGACATCTGCAATTACACACGTTTTGCTGCAGAAGCGCCTTTCCAGTACACGCATGATTCATTCCAATGGCTGCTTCCCAGCTTTGTCCCCGCAAGGGTACAACAAGAAAAAACACGCCCTTTCCAAGAACTGCATTTTCCCTCATCAGCATCACCAGCCCAAGATTTGCAAGGTTAACTTCTGTGGGACTGCACTACAATCGGTGGATTAGCCCACTCTGAAGGTACGGGCAGTTATAACTCGTCATCCACCCCTCCGTGGCTGTCACTGGGGACAGTGGACAGAGATTCCTGACTTGATGATGCAAGCTCTGACTCCTAAATACAGAACTGCCCTTTGAGTAGCTTTGTTGCTGGAGTAGAGGGGAGGGGGAGCCCTGGGAACAGAAAATCTAGACCAACAATTGGTCGTGCAAAAGGTTTTTAAAAAGTAGAGCTCACAGCAGTAAAAATTTTCCCCTTCCTACAGTGATTTTTCATGACTAAAAGGGTAGGCACAGTTGTAACCTGGACTCACCAAGGTGACGTTTTAGCATCAAACTTCACAAACTCAACTGCAGCATTTGGAAGCTGAACACGTCACCCTTTTGCACGGAAGCAAAACAAGGCTGAACACGGGCTAAACATCTCTGAAAAGGCAGGGCCTTCCAACAGCACTGGGCCCAGTTAAAGCCGTCAGCAATGGAACTACAGCAACAGTTTTTCCATCATTTGTACTTCATTTTCTGAGACTTTGATTTGCTGCTGATAGCTTCTAGGACCCCCTGGAACCAGAAAGGGGTTGGGGTGGGCTATGTAATTACGTATTCTGCAGACATTTTTTTTCCTACACACCCACAGAAGCTTTAGGGAAAGGATAGCTTATAAACTGACCGGTATATTCATATTTAGCACAGGAGATATCAATAGTTGGCTCCAGCTCAATCTGGGTCACAGCAGAAAGCCACTCTCGGAATTCTTCACACAGAGCATGCCTGAGAAGATAAGCACGAGGTAAGCATCCTCTCATGTTATAAAGCACATCACCATAGCCTAAACTAATTTATTACCTCCCTTCCAACTATTTAAACAGTTAAAGGTGCCATTAATGCTGGTGACAGTGTATTCCTGTAGAACCACACAGGAGCTGGCTGGGAAAACAGCCCAGCGTTCACAGCATCGCCAACACTAACCAGCAGCGAGTGCGAAATTGGTTGTAAAGGGGACAGCCAAGCCTTTCAGAAGTGACAGATACACAAGGGCTGACTCAGATCGCACCGCTCAGAGGAAAACAGCTAACTGACCTTAGGGCCACAACCTACATAAAGCAGCTTCAGCTCTTCAGGGCCGGTTTCTGGCCTGAGCACGGGGGCAGAAGGCGGCGGAGCCCCGCCTGGCCCACCCCGCTGCCCTCGCCTTCCCAGGGGAGCCGGCCAGGGCTTCTCCCCTCCCCGAGCGGGCGCACCCGGAGCTGGCAAAGCCCCGAGCCGGCGCTTTACCTCAGCGCGGCGACGTGGGGCTCCGGCCTTCCCCCCAGCTCCTCCGACTGCGGCGGCCCATGGAAGAGAAGAAGGGACGGGGGTTGGGGTTAGGGCGGCGCG